AGGGGAGATTATGGTGGAAGAGGAGGAGGCTATGGTGGAAGAGGAGGGGGCTATGGGGGACGAGGTTATGGAGATCCGTATGGGGGAGGTGGTGGTGGATATAGAAGGTATTAAAAACCACCAAAATTAGATAGCAGTGCTTACTTCTTGGTAGGGACATTAGGTGTAGTGTTCTAAGTAACATACTTGAATGTCAGCTTTCAAGTAAACACCATGTTAGCTTCCTTGTTATCATTCTTAAATTGGGTTAATATGTAAGAGCATTGTTTTTATACTACCATTTGATCTCTTAGACAAAGTGATGATTTTTCCATATTCTGTGTACCCTTGAGCATGTCTTTTTAAAAAACAAAAAATGAACAAAAATTATTTTTAAAAATGTAAATATTTATTACCATCAAACTTGGAAAATGGAAAGTATTTTATTGTCATGATTGAATTTAGATTGTTACCCGTATTTTATTCAGGTTTGAAACACATAAATTACCCCACTTGTAATGGAAAGGAATATAGACTATTGCCTCATCTGTATTCCTGTGGCTGTGTTTGTATTTGTTAATTATTCTTTATGAAATAGGGAAAGGGACTTATCTGATTGTTGTGTTCAATAGGTAGTTGTCATGACCTGTTTGCTCTTGTTTAGGAAACAGTTTCTCGCCAGGCTTCTGTTAAAGTTCCATTAATTGAAGCTCACATCTACTTTTTGCAATGCATATTTGATTTATTTTCCAAGTGGATTTGAAACCTGTGATTTTCTTTGACAAAGCAAAGTTAAAGACTGAAGTCAGAATTTATTCTGAAGGGATTAAGACAAGTAATTTTACATTACGATGTAGAAAACACTCGTATAAATTGGTCTCTTCATCACTTATGCCGTCGCTTTAGGTGTTTGAATATTAAAAGGCAGGCTGAGCTGCACTGCTCAGGATTAGGGCAGTTATTTCCTGTTTCAGTCCATCAGAGGCAGGATTCAAGGCATCCCTTAGAAATTCTGATTCACAGCTAGATTTGGGAAACCAGCTTAGTGAATGGTTACATGTGGTCTGGTGGTTGGAACAGGTAAAGGTTCGGAGATGAGGAGTTGTGAATTTGAATCATGGCACTAGCCCAGGGGCGCTGTGAGGTGAACCGACCACAGCTCTCAAGGACTGATTTGTCCTCATCTGTCAGATGGGGATTGTGACACTTGATCTCTTCTCAAACTGTTTCATAAAGACCTAAGTATAGTGCGATTTGTTGAGGGCTGTTGTAAATGGTTTAAGAAGTGGGCTCAGTACTGCATTATTCTTTTAGTAAAGAGAGCTAGATAAGATAGTCACACACGTTTTTTCATGCCCACTATAAAATGTCCTGGTGTGGGCGCCTGGTTAACACCTGTGCATAACAACTTCCTCTGATCTAACAAACTCAACAGATAGAAAGTGGAGTACCAGTGGACACATGGTATTTGGCATTTGGCAGTTTTGTTGTTGTTTTGCTTCCAGTAAACCCTGTAGTGAAATCTAAAATAATGTTAAAACTTTAAGGGTAAATATACTGCAGTCTTTGCCATGTATTTTTCAAGCTAACTCTTCAAAGAAATTTGTTCAGGATAGGAAAACATAAACTTTAGGTTATTTGTAAAATAGATTTTTAAAATGTGTTTATATTTAATGAATATACTTAATTTCATTTGTGATAGTTGGAAAAAAAGGCTTTCCATAATTAAGAAAAAACTTTTTTCAATAGCTATGAACTCTGAAAAATAAATAATTTTTAAAAATATATAATCAAAGACTACTGGACTATAGTTGCTGATACAGAACGGGTTTTCAACTACTTTAACTTCTTTTATCGCTAGAGGTTTATGGCCAATAATTGCAGAAACATTAATTTATCCATTTCTGTAACACCTCTGTGTACTTTCATAGGGGTGCTGTTGGGTTATCCACTGTACTCACTGTAAGTGTTACGCAAGTTTATCACTTGCTCCTGGAATTGTATTGGAGCTGGGACCACTGGTGTTTATACATTCCTATAAATGTCACTTGAGTGAAAACCAGGGTGATCTAGACCCTAATATCTTACTCTCCCCTGGAAGGTAGGATTTTCATGATACCTTTTTTCAGTAAAAATTTCATTTGTAGAAGAGTGTCCTGTGCAGTATCTAGGCCAGCAATAGGCAATTTGGGGCTTTGATGTGAAGAGCCATAATGTAAAAATGTTTTATAAATTGAGGGCAATGCATAGAGTATGATGAATGGTACATGACTGCTTTCTGCAATCTAATACCTTTTGATGTGCCTACTCTTCTAATTTCATTTTTCCTATTATCTCATTTATCCTCCCCTCCCACCCCCTACCTTAGTCTAGCCTTTGGTATCAAATAGCCCATGTAGATAAGACCTTACTGAGAGACTGTGCATTAAAGAAGTAACTAATCTCTTAAACATTAAAGAAAAGGTGGGGGTGGGGGTGGGGAAACACCTGGGTAGCTCAGTCAGTTAAGCATCCAACTTCTGCTCAGATCATGATCTCATGGTTTGTGGGTTTGAGCCCTGTGTCGGGCTCTGTGCTCACCGCTCAAAGGCTGGAGCCTGATTCGGATTCTGTGTCTCCCTCCCTCTCTGCCCCTCCCCTGCTCACACTCTGTCTCTTTCTCTCTCTAAAAAATAAATATTAAAAAAAAATAATCTCTTATCTGGACTATATAAAGAATTTGTGTTCCCATCCATTGTAGACGTGAGCTCTCAGCGAAAGAAGGGATCAGGTATTTTTTTTGAACCTATTCCCTTATGTTCTGTAGATCAGGGAAACCTTGCCTCTCTAAGCAGAAAAACACATTTTAAACCAAGTACACTTAATTACCTTTGTGTCAAAAGAAGGTAGGTAACCCAAAAAAGATTTGTGACCAGAGAATGTTCTGAGCAATGAGAACTCCTTATAAGGAGCACAGGGTGGAGAAATTTGGGATGGGAACTGGGGATGGAAGAGAGGAAAGAGAGGAGGCAGTTTAATCTCTTCTTCAGAGTCAGGTTGTCAATGTGACTTGAAGTGTTACGAATTGCCAAAATGATAGATACACCCACATCCAAATGTACCAGAATGCATTCCTCAGAATTTGAGTGATTGGAATTTACCCCCACTCTTTATTGGTCTGGTTAAACAAAAGTTGGCTGAGGATTAAGGGAAAGCTACGGCTATCTCTTAATCACTCTAAGTAATCATGAACACAAACGAGTTGCTGTGGGTGGTCTACCCTGGACTGAACCACCCTCTCTACCAGTTTCACACACAACTTCAAAGTTCTCCTTTACTTGCTGGTTTTCTTAGAACTGTGGGATTAAAGACAAAAGCCACAGAGAAATGGCAAGCTCAAATTTGTCTCCTTCATTGTGAAATATTCATAGGCAATATTTTGGGACCACTGTGAGTCCTGATGCAGTAAGATGGGAAAAGGTCGAATATTTTTGAACTGTTACTTCTGCATGTTCTGAAACGATTTAGATAAGACTTCTACTGAATAATTAGTTGCTTTGCTTTTCCTTCCAGGAAAACTCAGTTTGGTTAATAAGCGAGTGGTGTCAGCTGTGGATTATAGTAAAAATTCAAGAGAAGCTTCCATATATTCATGAACTAGAAGAAACACAAGACAGCTATGTGGTAGAGATCCTAATATCTTTTATCATATAAATATTACATAAAGAAAACTTACATTAGATATTAAAAAAAAAAAAAAAACCTTTACAATCTGTACACTTGTTTTTTCCTTGCAGTTCTTTTACATTGTATATCCTTAGACAGAAATTCACAAGTGGTCAGTAAAAAGGCAAGTCAATTACCAAAGAAAATGAAAAGTAATGTTGTTGACAGAACAAGATTTGTCCTTATTTTGACAGATAAATATATGCTCAAACTTATTTCAAGTCCGTACAAGACAAAAATTTGTATCCTAGGCTTGACCAAAATTTTTTCCAGATTATTTCTATATTCCACTAATCCCATGTAACTCAGTGCAAATAATACTAATTTACATGCTGTTCTTCTTTGGCCCTTGCTGGACTGCAAAAACTTGTGATAAAACTGCTTCTTACCCATTTCAGTGATAAATTCTGGAATGTTTGAGACCTCTAGCCATATACATTTGACTGATTAACGGAGTTCTGACCTTTGGAGTTCTAGGATTACAGATTACACAGAAACTAACCTAGGGTCTGTATTTTGGAGGATAAGGAGAATGAAAAAAAATTTGTGTTAGATAACTATATAAAGAAATTGAGCTGTACCACCTTTGGTCTTTATCAGAGGAAAAGAACAGTGAAGAGTATGAATTTTAAAGATTATCATAAATTTGTTCCATATAAGGTAAGTAGCAAAGTGCTTCTTAAGTTAGATACCAGGTGATGGACTTAAGCAGCCTTCTGGGGGGATTTCTGAGTTTGGATTTAGGAAAGGGTAAATTTGTAAAGTAATTCTTTGAAACACTAACTGAAAGCTACTCACTAGCTTTGTCACTAATGCTCAGAGCAAGGAGGTATGCAAATGGGAACTGGTCTTTCATCAAGGAAACTTCTTAAATAGTCTGAATCCTCCAAGGAAGCTATACTGTATATGTTCTTCGTATTCTGATTAAGATTTGGTGTTGTTGGCTTTAGGTTTGGAACTTTAAATTGTTGAGATTAAGTTCTTGGCTGTTGGTCAACTTGTATGAATTTCAAGTCTGCTTGGTACCAAGCTTTCCAACATGGAAGGTAAGTTCCCCTCAAAAAGAATGATAATTTGAACTTTTTAGAGAAATCAAGAATCTGATAAAGGAGTTTATAAACAGTTGCCCAACTAAACAAGCCCATTTATCATTAACCTTCATTACTAGAAAGCTCATCAGATTCTTGTGATTTTGCTCAACAATACAATTTATGTGGTGAGCTATTTCTTTATCTTGTAACAAACAACTTTAAATTTGTGGATTTGTGTAAATGACTAAAAGTTGTTTAATTCCACATTTTATGAAGGAGGAGACAAAATTCCAAGCCACATGCATGCTTGATATTGTATATACATAATATACACATATACACTCTGGGCTGTTATTGAAGCCTCTGATCCAATTAGCTTATTTCTAAATAGTATTAAGACCGTATAAGCACAAATTCAGTTCAAAATAGTTAACTTCCAAAAAAAAAAAAAAAAAGATGGCACATGAAAAGTTTAACAGACTCTTTTTCAAAAAGCCTGAAGTTCCTAATTCTATCCAATGTACATCTGTGAGGACAGACATCATGTTTGTAGTATGTTTATTTTAGCTACCTGGCTAGTCATGTCTGAAGTGGTATTTGCCATGTTTCTAGGTGTTTAGTTTGGCTACTTATGACTGTGTGACTAAAACTATGAGTTGACCTGTAATTGGATAATGTTCCCCCCTGATCTGTGGCTCCATCTCTAGATATTTACTCGTAGGTAGATATTCTCACGTGAGTATGAGCCTAGTGAGGAAGGAGTGGGAGAAGGCTAGTTGATCAGATCTGAGGTAGTGAAGTGGGAACCAGATTCGAAAAGAATGCTGGAATATAGAGGAAGTAAAGCTGTTTGTGGAATGTATTTTTCCACTGTAAGCAAGCTTTGGATGGAACAGGGTAAATCCCTCAGCTCCCAGAAAACCCACAGAAGGAAGCAAATTCATTTTCCAGGGATTTTAGTTCTAAGGAGGAAGTAGCTAGGCAGGCCACATAGGAGAAGCTACCTTGTCAGAAAACTACAGCCATGTTTTTATCAAGCTGTAGGTATTAGTCCCAGGGTGGGGGGTGGCAGATGTTTGTGGTGTGAATGGCAAAAATTTTGCATTCTTCAGCTTTCCTCCCCTTTGATTCAAGTGACTGGAAGGGAAGACAGTTCCACTTACTAGGTTAAAGGAAAAAAAAAAAAAGTAACTTGCTTTTCTCTTTTAAAGTGACCTTTTAAAAGAGCTGGTTGATCTAAGGTACACCAGGTGTTTGTTATTTATTTTAGTTAAGTGAGATCTCTGATATACTCATCTACACATTGTGCTCCTTGAGATTCTTGGCTAAGAACAGTCACCCTGCTCCATCTGAGCTAAGACGTGATTGCTTCTTGCAAGTTGGAGAGTTTCTATTTTCTTCTGTGCATATTTCAGTTGGATCTTTAGAGCGTCATTATCTGCTTTCAGGGTATTTATTTCCTAAAGGGAAAGGAGATGTATGTTAATAAAGCAGCAATGAATAGCAAATCAGTTCCAATATTGGGAGTACTACACTTGATTGGCATTTTCTATTCACTGTGGCTGAGAATTAAAAACTATTTTTGAGGCAGTTATTTTGCTCTGAATAGAACATAACAAGTTAAATACCAAATGAGCATGTGCAAACAGCAATTAGTTTTTGTTATCATATCAAAGATATGAATGGGTAGCAAGCAGAATACATCATTCCCAGACGATAGGTGGCTAATAAAACCTTTGGATGTTATATAGTGGGAAACCTAAACTTGGCAGAAACGGAGAGTCTGTGGTCAAGTCTGAGGTATGAAAACAGTGATTTAAATGAAATGAACTATGTCATATGATGGTTTTCTAATTTCCCCCCCAAATCATAGAAAACTAATGGACTCTTTTGATAAAGAATTTATCCTACCCCCTAAATGGGACTTTAGGTATCTAATTCTCTGTGGTAGTTAATTTCCACTTTTTTTTTAATTGAAATATATTTGACATATGACATTGTATAAATTTAAGATGTACAACATGTAAATTTGATAGTTAAATTTTAACACTGCCATTGTAGCAATAATCAGCACCTTTCATGTTAGTAGTTTTCCTTTTTTAATAATTGGAATAATTTAAGATCTGGTGTCAGCAGGCTTCATTATAGTACAGTATTGTCTACATTCATTATACTACGCATTACATCTTTTGGGCTTATTTGCCACTCGTAAGTTTGTACCCTTAAACAACATCTGTACTCTCCACCCTTTTTCCCCTGATAACCACCATTTTTTTCTGTTTTTATAAGTTCGGCTTTTTAGAATTCTATATACAAGTGATGTCATACAGAACTTGTTTTGCTCTGACTTACCTCACTTAGTATAATGTGCTCAATGTCCATGTTGCACATTCCTTTCTTATGGCTAATACTCTGTGTGTGTGTGTGTGTGTGTGTGTGTGTGTGTGTGTGTGTGTGTGTTGTCCCTTCATTGATGAGGTATGGACACTTAGGTTGTTTCCATATCTTGGTTATTAAATAATGCTGCAGTGGACATGGGGTGCAGATATCTTTTTGAGTTAGTGTTTCTGTGTTCTTCAGATAAATACCCAGAAGCAGAGTTGCTGGATCATATGATGGTTCTGTTTTTAATATTTGAGGAACCTTCACACTGTGTTCCATAGCGACTGTAGTAATTTACATTCTCACCAGCAGTGCATGAGGGTTCCTCCCTTTTCAGCACATCCTTGCAAGCACTTGCTCTCTACTTTTCCTGATGCTAGACATTCTAACAGGTGTTAGTTGGTATCTCAATGTGTTTTGATTTTGCATTTCCTTGATGATGAGTGATAGTGAGCATCTTTTTATGCACCTGTTGGCCATTTGTATGTATTCTGTAGAAGAGTGTGTCTTTAGTTCTTCTCATTAAAAAAAAAAAATTTTTTTAATGTTTATTTTTGAGAGAGAGAGAGAGTGAACAAGAGAGGAGCAGAGAGAGAGACAGAATCCAAAGCAGGCTCCAGGCTCTAGCTGTCAGCACAGAGTCTGACGCGGGGCTTGCACCCACAAACCGTGAGATCATGACCTGAGCTGAAGTCAGACGCTTAACCAGCTGAACCACCCAGGTGCCCCTAGTTCTTCTCATTTTTTAATCAGACTGTGGTGTTGTTACTGAGTTGTAGGCATCCTTTATATAATTTGGATAGCAGCCCTTTATCCAGTTTATGGTTTGCGAAAATTTTCTCCTATTCTGTATGTTGCCTTTTTATTTGGTTAATTCATTGGCTTTGCAAGACCTTTTAAGTTTGATGTAGTCTCATTTGTTGATTTGCTTTTGGTGTTACATCAAAAAAAAGTCATTGCCAAGACCAGTGTTGAGGAGCTTCTTCCATATGTTTTCTTTTAGGAGTTTTATAGTTATCAGGTCTTATGTTTAAGTCTTTTATACATTTTGAGTTAATTTTTGTGAGTGGTGTTAAGATAGGGGTCTAATTTCATTGCTCTTGCATGTACTTGTCCAGTTTTCCCAACGCTATTTGTTGAAGAGATTATCCTTTTCCCCCTTGGGTGCTCTTGGCGCCCTTATCAAATATTAGCTCACTGTATAAGCAAGGTTTAATTCTGGGCTCTCTGTTCCACTGGTCTATGTGTCTGTTTTTGTGTCAGTACCATACTGATTTTATTGCTGTAGCATTGAGTATAGTTTGAAATCAGGAAGTATGATACCTCTGCCTTTATTCTTTTGCGGTTCCATACAAATTTTAGGATTTTTTTTTTTCCATTTCTGTGAAGAATGCCATTAGTATTTTTTTTTTTTTTTTTTTTTTTT